GTTTAGCATGAAGAAGATGCTTTAATAGGGCATATCATAGCGCTGTCTGGCGCTTTGCACTCTCGATAATTCCTGCTGAATAACACGTCGCGCTTTGGTGAGACGTGTAGACTCCTGTCAAGTGTAAACGAAGCTCTTTCTACTGCTTTACAGGAATTCACCGGTCTCGACTAAAGGCATCGGCAGCAGTCAACGGAAGCCAGCAAAATGCCCCTTCCAAGCACAACTTCAAATTAGTACTTTGGAAAGAAAACCACTTATGGAGTAGAGATAATTACTTACATTCAAAGAATCCGATCAACTTTTTGCTGAACGCCCGATGATGTTCTGATTTTCGAGAGAGCTGCTGCATAACCTTCTCAAAAAGGCGAACGCTGAAAAATACTTCCTCGAATTAAAAAAATTTGCATAGGTAATCGGTTTATGAAGCAGAGCTACGATACCTCTGCTGCACTCGTTTGTCATAGACATGTTCTCCTTGGACGCCTTCCATCTGTACAATTTCGTCCAGGAAATCTCCGGTAGTAGCTTCATCATTGCTTTCCAGCAGCTCTTCAACTTCTTCAGATGAAGCGCCACGTAGCGCTATCAATCGTAGCTGCTCGTCCAACTTGAAAAAAGGACGTTCACGAAATGATAACAAGTTGACAAATGACATTTTTCTTTTTTATTTTTCTCTTCCGAACTGAACCTAACCAGAGGGTTTCTTAAATTTCAGCAGCACTGTTCGGCTTTGCCATAAAAATGGTATTCAGCAAAGCTACAAGGGTATCAGTGGAGGTGGCCAAAGAAGACCATTGCGAATTCTTGTACCCTAAGTGGCTTACGAATACCATTTCTTATGTTCACAGGATTTTACAGGTTTCATCGAAGTGTAACCGGGTAACTGACATTAAACAGCGAGGGATTAAGTACCAGTACAAAAATGCCCCCTCTAAAGCCGAGAAGAGCCACTCTGGCGAATTTTTTTTGTTACAATAGTTTAGCACCGTGTATGTGTGGATTCAATGGAGCTAGAGCGTTGTTAGGGCACCTTCGCACATACTGAGTAAATAAATAAAAAATAGTTACAACATAGAAACCCATAGATCATAGAAGTTTTAGTGGAAGTTCAAAATGTACCATCGAAATTCTCTAACAAAGCCTTATAATCGACAAATGGGAAATTTTGAACCTTGGCAGCAGTGTTTTATGCGAAAGCTGGTTTTGTATATATATCAGGCAACCAAAAAAGTTCGTGCGGTTTTGAAGGTAGCGAAATAATAACATAAAAAACGGGTTAAACTTAGATTTATTCCGAAAAATAATTACCCTCAGCAAGTAATACACTTTCCCATTTAGACACAAGAGCATATATTCCATTTTTGTAAAAATCTTGCTTTTGGGAATCAAAGAAATGTTTTAGTTCGTTGTCCAAAGCCACTTCATTTTCAAATCGCCGATTCCTCATGTGGTTGTCCAAGGCCAAAAACAAATGATAGTCACTTGGAGCAAGGTCTGGCGAGTACGGAGGGTGAGGTAGAATTTCCCATCCTAGTCGCGCTATTGTTTCCTGAGTGATTCTTGCAGTGTGTGGTCTTGCATTGTCCTGGTGGAAAACCACACCTTTTCTGTTCGCCTTGAAAGTAATCTAAATCAACAAATACACTGAATGACACTCCTTGACATAGTCACCCTACCACTAGATCCAGTTTACTGAATATACTTCATAAAAGTAGACAATTAAAAAAACCGCACGAACTTTATTGGTTGCCTGATACTTGTGGGCAATACCACGCCCATAGATGACCCTCAAAAGTGTCCCACCAAAAAATCAAAGGCAACCAAACTGTTAACGTACATCTCATGACTATCGTTGCTTCGATTTTGCATAATAATTTTCACTTCTTTTAGAGGTTGCTGCTAAGGAAAACCTTGTTTTACTCTGTTTTAATTGTCGGATTACAAGCATTGTCTCAAATCCACCACCTGCAAATTCAGCAGTATTATCCTGAACATTTATTTGCGTTGACGAATTCGCGTGTTTCTTTTGTCGTATTATTGTTTCGTTTTATAACACGACGAATATCGCTCGCATTGGATCGCATTTACGGTACATGTTAAATAAATAATCAAAACAAAATCCTGATTTCCTCCAACCACATAAATTGATGGTTTGCCTTCACATGATTGCAAGGAACTTTCAGTGCACACCTAGGGCATTTCCACGAGTTTTTTTTACGAATCAAATTTTATCAGCATGTGATTTTCACATACTGATAAAATCCACAATAATAATTGTGATTTTCGTTCACATTCATCCCCCTTTATCCACAAGCATGTACCGCATCGCGTTCAAGTTAGTTGCTATGCAGTAACATCATCAGAGGAATTCACGGTACTAATGTAGTTGGGAGGGGGGTGGGCAGGGGGACCACTTAACCCCGCCTCCGCAAAAAGGCTCGCGAGTGGACCCTCATCTAACTACCATAGCTCCTCACCAATACCCAATGCTGCCGTAGATCCGGGAAAGATACAGGTAGGAAATATTTAATGCTTTATTATGTATGTTGAGCATGTATTGAAACTGTCACTAACGTTATTCCAGTGCCGATTAATGGTACAGCTCGTATTCTCGTCAGTCATCTGACGTTGTCGGAGTCGTTCTATCTCTCTTTCCTTCGTTTTTAGCTGCTTGTTCTTGTGCCGAAGAGCTTCGGAAAGTTTATAGGCCTGTACCTTCGCCTTCTTTTCGTCAATGTCATTCTGAAAATTGGCTGATCTCCAATGGCTTCCATTTTAATTTTCTCACAGGTCTGTTTTTCAAAACCCGGCCTTCCCAGAAGATAATGAACTCACAACGCCACTGACGGACAAGAGTCGTACAGTCTCGAAGGCAACCAGCCTTCGCTTCTTTGCCGCGATCTCCTGATCATCGGATACTGAATGCGAATCGTCCTGATCGGATCCATCGCTATTGTCCGATAGGGATCGCTTCGACATCACCTGCAATTTTTTTCTCATTTCCTAGAACCATTAAAACCACCATTAACTTTGAAAAAATACTAACCTCATTTAACTTTGGAGATGAACGATGAAATATTCTAGAGTCCTTCTATGCTCGAGTTTGATCCTTCTCCTTTCCTTGCCGCACGAAATTACTTGACGATTGTGCTAAACAAAAACTTATCACAACTTCAAGAAATGCGGGTGCAGACGCAACGGTTTTACAGAGGTAATGCAGGGAATATGTAGAAGATCCACTCGAAAATAAGAAAAAGAAGAAAATAAAAAGCAAACTTGATTTTATGAACGTTAGTCTCAGACAATTCACTTCCAACTTTAAAACTTGAGATAACCGGAATCCTATGAGAAATGCTCAGAGAACTTGGCACTTTTCCGGTCTCTAGATCAAGCAGAACCACTGGAAGGGTGAAAAAGGGATAAGGAAGGCCACTTGCTCCCAGGAAATCTTGTATTTCATTACAGGCGAAATAAGCCTGCCTACCGACCACTGCTACGAAAGACGCCCATGCAGGGGCGCCCAGACCCAGGCTGCTTACCTAATGACCCTACTGCAAGATCAATTTATCGCTGGAAAGGATAGAAATCTACCAGAAGTATTTGAGGGAAACCGACGTGAGGGGAGAAGCGCCCGCATGGACGGCAAAACATGACACGCGCCGCTGGCCGCGACGCTTCTGGCGCAACTCGTTCCTCCGTGAGATCGAGCCCCGAGTGAATCTGGGTGTTGTGCTCCGCCCCGTCTCTATATGGTCCGCTAGAAGATGTCAAGTAGGCGGCTGTTTGTGAGCGGTATTGCGAATAATGTTGGAGAAGAAGCAATACGGGCATATTTCTCCCAATTCGGCTTCATGTCCGAATTTACGTTACCTGTGGAAAGGGAAACTGGTCAGTTTTCTGTTTCTTGGTCTTATTCATGCTTTCACTGGTGACCATTCTTTTAGGTATAAACAGAGGATACGCTTATATCAGTTTCTTGGACGAGACTTCAACTGCCGCATGTCTAGAGGTGCCTACGCATAAAATTCGGGACAGGGAAATAACCGTGACGAGATTGACTGACGAAGTGAGTTGGGACATTCTCTCAGGTAAATTTAGAGCTAGCAAGGTTTAAAAGCCGCAACTTAGGACAGCTTAACGAAGATGGAAGTGCTGAGGTCGCGGAGGCTATTCGTGAGCTTCCTTGGGGTGGAAAGTGTCACTGAGGGCACCATACGACAAGCGTTTTCTGCCTATGGTTCTATTTCGTCGGTTCATTTCGCTCGGGTATGCGTTTCAGTTTTTTTTTCCATTTTTTTGTTTTTCAAATTCACTTCTAATTAGTACAGATTAGCGCGGTAACAGATGATCATAAAGCCGTGTTCACACTTTGCGAATAGGGAAACGCGCACCAGAGGAGCGCAAAAGAATTGATCGATTCTCCTGTTCTCTTGGCCTTCCATTTGGCCAGATCAACACCTGCACTTTCCTTCGCGAGCATTCTCTTATTCTCTAGTTCTTGTGTTCTTCCGAGTCGCAAAAAGTGGATCCATTCTCATGATCGTCGCAGAGTTGGGCTGCGTTCATACTTTGCAAGTCAGCGTTTCGAGCGGATAGAAGCGCGTGGGTATCAGCCTGAAGTTCTGGGAGAAACAGCGTATCAACGAAGTAGGACTCGACTTGCAAGGGCATGGCATAGGTGTCGATGTCGATCGTGTCAAAGCGCCGATTCATGCAAAACGCCGGGTGCCGAAGTATGAACGCAACAGAAGACAATCGGAGAAGGCGAGAACGCCAGACGAGTGGATGGGCACGGCGTTCGAATCCATTTTTCCTGCCCTCCTTGTCGCCTTATTTTTTCTAAAGAGCATCTTTAGATTTGCCTTTTTATTGGAATTCAACGACTGGTTGGCCATGGAAATCGTCGATTTCCATTCTCATTTGGCGCGCATTCTGCTTTCTTCCTAATCACTGACTCTCCTAGTCTCCGGCGGGCCATCTCCTCTTTATTTAATATAGCAGCTATTCACACTTGGTTGAAGGAGGTATCGAGTCACATGATTGGTTGTTCCACTCAGTTGGAGGCCTTTTTGCTTCTATTCGTTCTTGGACGGGCCGACTTCTATATTTGTTACGATTTAATCCTAATGAGGGCATGGCGTTCTGCGCACTGAGCTAGCAGGCAGTAAAACATTTAAATTGTTTCAAATTTCAAAAGCTCTATTAGCATTATCACAAGTAGGCTGAGTTATAGGAAAAGTCTTGACCCAGGCCCGACGCAAACCCGCTTCACGCTTTTCGGGCGAGTGCTCTATACCTAAGCTCATTCATCGGAACGCGAGCTGCGGCGTTAAACAACAGTTATCACGATGAGACGTCTTCCTCTAGCATTATTTCAATTGATGCAGCGCAACTTCCTCAAACAAAATATTGCTATCATGGACATGGAGTAATCTTCTACATTACCCTAGAAAGGAAAACCTGAGTTTGTGACATTCGGCGCTCCTACTCACTGTGGGATGTTTCCACCAGAGCAATCTCAGACGTATCAAGGCTGCCCTTTTTATTCTGCGACATTTGACAGCTGACGGCGGAGTACGACGTTACTTTAGCTTATTCTTCTGCTCCTCGCTGTGTCTTTTTTCTCCAGGAAAAGTGGCTTTTACTATCACTCTCCATTTTTTTTTTTTTTTTTTTTTTTTTTTCTCACCTTAATTGCCCTAATTCTAAAGTTATATCTCTATTTGACATGTAATTTGACGTTGAGAACCGTAGAGTTACTTGTTATGAATAAGCCACAACTAGAACGTATTTCACTTCTCTAATAGAGTTGTCTTAGATTTTTTTTTTCTCAGGAGCCCCGCCTAAATATTGAGACTGTCACTAAACTGTTCCTAGTTTTGAGCCTCTACTGAAGTTCAGCGATTGCACGATTTCAAAATAGTCTTTGTGAACGTTCACGGGTAGTACTGGAGATTGCTGCTCGCGAGTATAAGCCCTGGTTCGACCACATGCGCTATAATGATCTTGCAGTGTTCCGGGGTAGAAGAGCCATCTGTCACTGAGGAACAGGTGCATCATGTGGGAATGGGAGGAGGAAGGTGAAGACACATAGTGGGTTACCTCTTTTTCACTCTTCGCTTTTCTGGGCGCTGTTCCTCTTTGAGGGCGCTTTTAGCAATTTTGCCTGTGCCTCTAGCTAATGCATGTCAATTAATAATTTAGTACCTGTAGACTGTTGCGAAACTGCGAAATGGTACAAGAGAGCCACTCCGGTTACGAAAATTTACGGGTCTTCACTAGATGGCTTGTACAAGCCTCGCTCAATGCCACTTTATGCCCCCACCAAGCAGATTTTTATTCCCTAGTACTTGGCTACTCTTTTGCACAACATGTAATAAATACGGTAACATGGGTAATGTTTTCTTCACCACGAATTCTGCCTTTTTATACAGTTTCTACTTTCAGGATGAAGAAGGAAAACTTCTTTACTACGCAATTGTGACTTTTGACAGTGAAGAAGCCGTCGACGCGTGTCTGAAACTGAATCACTGCATCAACGGACGGTTCGTGTTCCATAGCGTAGCTTTTCATGCGTGCCAGCTTTAATGCTTCCAGATCGATCGTTGTAAGAAAAGCAGTAACAAAAGAGCAGTTCAAGTTAGCTGAGCAGTCTCAAAGAGAGCGCACGCATTTGGAAGAACATGTGAGTGGAAAACTGCTCCCATTATAGAATGTTATTTTTTCTGGTTGTAAAATGTTAGGGGGCTGAGTTTGGCTAGGCGCCAGCCAATTTCCTCGAGTCTTGGGGTTGGCGGAATCACAGTGTTTTGTACGAGGTAAAGACGAGACAACCCATTGCTGTTTTGTGGTAGTTTTGATACCTATGTCTGTTTCTTCTTCTAATCCTACCAATCGTTGTCGCTTGCTCGTTTCAAAAAAAACGGTGGAGGATGGGTCGGCGCCGCGTCAAACCCGTGATCCGTTCAACGTCCAAAGCGAACATTAATGCAGCACGGCAATAAAATTATTGTTTTAGCAAAAGCATGGATATGCCGGCTACAGTAGGACTCGTCTCGTAGCTGTTCCCCAGCAGCCTCAGTGGCCCTCTGCGGTAAGTATGATTTGTGGCTTTTCTATTGAATTTTAATCTTCATAGACTCAAAGTTTAAGGCTTACCCCTCTTCCATGGCTCCCAGTTACCCATCGCAGTATGATTTACATCAAGAGCAATATCGACGTGAATATGAGCGATATCAACTGCAGATGCAGGAGTATCAGAAACAGGTAGGTGTATTTAATTGCAAGGAATCATTTTAAAGTTTGCACTTTCGCTGTTTAGTGAAAAGGAACTGGGAAAAGGGAATCCTTATCCTCTTATTTGCTTTTATTTTCTTTCCGTGGGACGTATTTGGTTATCTATATACGTGAATGAGTCTGCAGCTGCAGTCCTGGATATTTTCGCCTGATCGGAAGTGCACGGTAACGGAGCTAGAGAGTAGTTTCACCCAAGTGCCGTCTATACTCCGGATCACGTCGCGCTGTCGTGCAGCAAGCCACATGGCTAATCGTAACCAAGCGGGCTACTTGTCTACGCCCCCTCACTTCTGGTTGTTCTACCGTTGAAGGCGTTTTCGCTGTGGTACCTTGAGGTGGACGCACGCTGCACATTGATAGCGCTTGTGGAGGACGGCACCCTTACTACCCTCCAGCCCTCCCCCCGCCCCATCTTCGTGCACTTTTGACCAGAGGAACCGCTACCGCTGCTGCGGAACTATTCACTTCACGCATTGATAGGACCGTCCTGGGAGATGAACGCATATTTGTCTTCAAACAGTGACGATATGAGTATTTGTAAACGATAGAAATATGACGAGCAGTTGCAAATGTTGCCATTTCTCGGTGTTGCCTACCATTGCAATCCTCAAATCGTTTACTTTAGCTAGCTGAGTATCACGAGAAGTTGAATAAGTATCAAGGGGAGCTGCAACAATACCACGTGCAACGTCAGTACAAGACAGCTTTGGATCAAGCAGCTTTTCACAATGCGTATAATTACAACACAAATTCCTCTCAAGGTAGGTTAAAACAGCAAATTGTCTGGGGGAAGGTGGATATTTCTCCACTTTTTCTGCTTTCCATTGTCGCGTCTAGCGATCAAGTAGAGACCTGTGAAATCTCGTAAAACCATGAAGCAGAATCGGGATCGTAGACACTACTCATCAACTTTTGTAAAGTAGTGAACGCAACGATGGGAAGTAGCGGGAGTGCAAAATGCCCCTTCCCCCTCCCATATCGCCGAACCGCGGCATGCCTTTAATCTCGATTGTCGTGGTTTATTTGATGTCTTCTACTCTTGCTCGCTGGTCTTGCTCGCTGCGGGTGTGGCGTTTCAAGCGGGTTAGATTTGGCACGGCGCCAGCCTGTTCTTCATCAATTTTGGTCGCCTACCAGCTTCCTGATTTGGTGGAGAACAGGCTGGGGACACGCCAAACCCAACCCCAAAGCGCATCAACCTCCCCGGCGGACAAGACCATCCGCCGGTTATTGCATCAGATGTCGTCGCAGGACGCCTTCAACGTGGAATGATGCAACATGTTGCAGTTGTTGATTAGAGATAGCTGCATTCCTCTTGCCCCTTTATCGGAATCCCGTTCTACTCTTCATTTTTAAGATGTGTCTGGATCTTCCGAAACTAGTACGGGTGCTGAATCCAGTGTTTCTGACAGGATGCGAAATTATGGATATATTGCCCAGTAAAGGGCGTTGCTCTGCCCCCTAGTAAATTTTCTATTTTGATATTCGTTGTGCCTGTTATTGTTATTTTGATACTTTTCGATCTCATTGACATAAAGTGCTACACCTGACGATTTTTTCACTGAGTTACGACTGGAAAACTGTCCATATTTTTCTGAGTCATTCCTTTTTTGAATGATTTTTTCACCATTACTTGGTCTTTGAGGACGCTGATGATGTGGAGAGTTCTGTGTGAGGATGAGGCTACGTATGAGTTCCCTGTTCTGGCTCAGGATTACTTTGAAAAGGTTGGCTGTCAAAATGTTCCTGGTTATAATGATTGTGAAAAGCTAAATGTTGTTTTCAGCTACTACTTATCTGGAGAACTCAAACACAGTCAGTGAATCGTCGCCTAGTCGGCACCGTTCCAGTTAGCACCTGAAGCCGAGGAATACAGAGCTGTTGTGCAGAGTGCCGCTCAAGTAGTTGACTGCTGTGAGTAGTTTCAGGCGCTGTTCGGCTTGTGGGGGGGGGGGGAAGGGTGGAGTAGTTTGCACTTTCGATGGTTCCTTTTCTTTTGTTTGTTAATTCATGTTAACTGACAGTTCTCACTTCGTTGAAGCTTGTAAACTGTTGTCACGCTGCTAATTGAGCCACGTTCATTAGGGAGTTTTACAGGTCTCCACAAGATGGCCTGTACAGGCTCTCTGAGTGCCATTTGGTGCCCCCTCCGAGCCGAACTGCGCCTGGATTTCGAACTTTTTTTCGGAATTGCTATAAGAAATTTACTTTCCAATTTCAGCTCCCATTGGGCATGATTGTGATGTTCGCAAACTGGTTCCCAAGGATCTTTCGGTCTGTAATTCATCTTACGAGGTTTCTTTCCTTGAAGGTAGGTAATATTAATGATATCAGTCGTCTTTCTGACTGTTATGGTTTCAGATGACTTGACGGTCGTATTCGTTCCGGTTCAATTAGATCCTAAGCCTGGGAAAAGTGTTCACATTTCATTTCCTTACAAGCTGAGCTGCGTTCAGTCGTCCGAGTCGAGGTCGGTATGGGTCTTTTTTCGTCATCAACATTTCGCCAAAATATCTTTTGGGCGCTGTTCGGCTTGGTGGAGGCATTTAGCTGATCGCCACCGATGAGTGTTGATGCATCCTGTGGAGATCTATAGACCTGTAAAGTTGTGCAGTAGCAGAAACTTCGTTTACACTTGACAGGAGTCTACAGGTCAACAGGAATTACAAAAAGAAACAGCGAAGTCCAAGTGCCCTTCCCCCCAAGCAAAACCCCTAATGCCTGTTTCGTAATAATGTTCCAACGTTTTAGTCTGCGTCTCAATCTCGCTGTACCAAAGAACATCCCAGATGCGGAATGTCGATGGCTGCTGAATAATATGTTCCCTGCTATCTTTAAATGGCTTCGATTTATCGATCCGAAAAGGGCTATACGTAAAACGAATGCCTTGTTAGACATTGTGCAGTACAACACTCGCTACAGGAAGCTGAAGGAGACTTACGGTCGACGACTCGTAGAGGTATCTTCTTTGTCCCTAAATTGTTCTATCTACTGTTAGTATCACGTTAATAGTACTATTTTTTTCAGACGTGGACGGAGAGGACAGATCCAACGAAATTTGTTTATGAAGACTGCGGTATAGCTGCATACCTTCTGGTACGACCTTTCCAGCGCTACTCGTATCAGAGGCAATATTAGATTCACTCGTGTTCAGGAGTTCTGGAAAAAACGTGGACGCGTACCTAAGAAATTTGCAGATTTGGGTTGTGGAAATGGATTATTGGTGTATTTGCTTAACAAAGAAGGCGTGAGTTTGAACCATTTGTTCTCAGTTTATTTTTATTTAGTTCTTTCGAACGAATTTTAATTATCCACTCAGGTAGAAGGTGTCGGCATCGATATTCGAAAAAGAAAGATATGGTCGGAACAGCTGAGTGATACTCAGCTGATTGAGGCAGTTGTGGATCCCTCTAAGGTATTACTAAATTCAGTGCATGAAGGATTGTTCCTTCTATACAGGTTCTCTTCATTTTTTTTCTCTTATTCGCTATATTCTTTCTCGCACCGAAGGTTTGCGCGTGTGTCTTTGAGGTTTAAAGAGCGTTTCATAAGAAACGCCAGCGCCTGTACTTTCCTTTTCGCTCGTATAGCTGGCTTTTCCCCTGAAACATTGGTCAATACCCATGCTTTCTCGCACTCGAACGCTCTAAACGGGGCCCGGATTTTGTGATAGTAATGAGCATAGGCCTCTATAATTATGTGAACTAACTAACTTTAACTTATTCAGAGCATTATTATCTGACGACCCAGTAGTCCTTTGTAGGGCTTTCAAGACTTATATTAGACCCCTGTTGGAATATGGAACAGTGGTCTTCATCATATAAGCTCGAGTATTAAGATTTTGAAAGAAATTCAGAATAGTTTCACTGAGAGGTTTCTTCTAAGATTGTGGGATTCCACTATGAATAGATTCCCTGAAGCGAAAGCACGAAGCCCCCCTGCAATCTCAATCTAAGAGCGCTGTCGCTTAGAAGGAGGAATTTGATTGTATAAAGTTTCAAGGATCTATTCATGGCTATTCAGGGTCATTAGACCCTGGGGGTCTTAGATGGGAAATACTGGAAACTACGACTAAGGGGCTCGGCAAGAAAATTACCATTCCGCAGTAGGGCATGCGTTAGACACCATTCTTCCTCAATGCGACTCCAAACGAGTTTAGCATAGAGTCTTTCATGTAGGAAGGTCTCCACAAACTTAACGACTTAAAGGCTACTTTTGGAAAAGTATCTCGCATCGCTGATGTTGATACACTGTTACAGGACTTAATTTTTATTTTCCACTCTGTTGTGTTCATTTATGTTGTTTTTCCTTTTAATGTTTTTGTGTTCCATACTAATTGTATCCAGTTTTCACTAGTTTTTATTCTGGTATGCCAAACGGGTTTCCGTGTAATAAACAATTAACAATAGCTTTTTCCGATGGCTAAAGCGATCAGTAACTTAACAACTTTTGTAGGAAGGCAATGCAATACCTGACGATGTGGATTACTTGATTGGTAACCATACAGATGAGCTAACACCCTGGATACCTGTCATGGCTGCGAGGTACGTTTGAAATGATATAACCTTAGGCTCCTTCTTCGGTCTTTCTTTCATGCTCAAGGGATTTTTGTTCAGGTTGAAGTGCGATTTCTTTGTTCTACCCTGTTGTCCTTTCAATTTTAATGGCAAGTACGTTGCGAGGCCAGGTGATAGTGGCAGTCAGTATGATTCTTTCCTTAGATTTGTTAGAGAGGTAAGTTATGACAACCTTCGCTGCTCATAAGAGGTTTAACTAACTAACTTCGCTTTATAAGTAACCAAATAGAAATTTTAAGATTTGCACGCGTTTGGGATTCGTCGTGGAAGAGGATCGATTGAGTATACCTAGTACGAAAAGGGTTGGTTAGTTGGCAGATTGTAGTGGAATTGACGTGTTTCGACATAGTCGTGCTCTCTTGTTGTTTTTTTTCTCTGTCCTCAACTGGTGTGGGCGCGCCAGCGGCACATACTTTTTGGCCCAACGCCAGCCCTTCCCCACCACTTCCGCAACGGTCGTTGGGCAACATGCTTGCAATGCGCCAGCGTTCACGTGCCGCTGATACGCCCCGACTGACTTTAGTGATAATAAGTCCTCTTGAAACGCGTTGCTGCATGTTAATTTGACTTTGATATTTCAGCTGTGTTACGTTTGTACGATTCCTCCTCAAGGACTTGTTCCAAACATAGATGATACTATTGAAGAACTAAGCGGGTCCTCTACAAGTGTTTTCCGTCCTAGGAATAAGGTTGAGCAGGTTTGTTGTTTCTTTGTCCTTCTTCAGAACTGCGTGGCACTGTTGTGCATTTTTGTATGATTTTGTTTCAGGTACGTAATTGCTTAAACGTCCCAAAAGATATTCGATTAGACTTGACGAAGCGTTTCTTCTTTGAGCTTCTCGAAAGGAATGGAGAAGAACAAAAGTACGAGTAGTTTGACACTCTCCTTTGGTTTACAAGTTGTGTGCAAGTGTATTGTGACATTTCAGCGGCTGGCGACGAGGTGGAGCGATAGAGCTTGGGGAATTAGCCAAGCTCTTGACTTCAGAAGAAAAACAGTTAATGAAGCAGCAGTGTGGAGGACTGCAAACTTTTCTTAGGAATCAACATCAAGTGTTCAAGGTTTGTGTCTTAATCGTCGAGTTGCGATATGCTTTCTTGCTGACAAAGAATTTCTTCAAAGCTTACAAAAAACTGCAT